CTTATTTTGTGTGTAATCTGTGAAATTTATACTACAGTAAAATGTTAAAATTCCAATTTGGATCTTTTTTATGAGAAAATACCTTGGGCAGTGTAGGTTTTCCTAATGTCAGCTTGATGGCAACATTACAGATGTTTTAGATGTTAATGGTAAAGGTATAAAAATAAATATATATATATATTTATTGGGTCTAAATTTCTTTTCAGAAGTTCAAATTAAGATTTTTACAATAGTGGAAATTGCTTCTGCACCTCCACCGAATGGAAAAGTAGGGGCCTCTCCCACTTTCTCATCACCTTAGAGCTAAAAGTCTTCTTCGAAGGATGATTGCTTATTAATTTCTGGAAGTGTAAGATACATGGCTTTTTTTTTTTTCTTGTATGTTTAAGAAAATTAATACAGGGAAAACTAGGACTAATGGATGTTTTCTGTTTAGATCTAAATCTACTGAGACCTTTTTTCCTTCTCCAAACTTTTATGAAATTGTGCACTCAAGATTTTATAGAGGTAATTAATAATGATTGAGAGATGGTTGACCTATATGGCAGTATGTAGATGATATTTTATGAACATACAGGAGCAGCTGCTCATAATTCCCATGTATTAGGTATGAAGAGAGAGGCAGAACAATTTCAGTCCATTCCCATTAATCTCTTGGAAATGGGGCAGAAGTATTTGCTGATCAACAGTGTCAAATCCTGCAAAGAAATCCAGTTTCTTTGGAAGAATTTGAGAGAATTTTACTTGCCTATAGCTGGAGGTCATCCATCGGGGCTCTAAGTCCTGTGTTAGTAGCTTGACTTAAAATGAAGCCTGTCTGACAAGGATCCACTATTCTGTCATTTGACAGGTGGCAACAGAAGCTATTTTTGGTATCTTTTCAGTCAGTGCTCCCAGAAAAGAGGAAGTTAGGCATGCATTAAGCATTCATTTTCAAAATTCATATAGGTAAGAGGTGCTTTTTTGGGTGTGCTTTCATCAAGGTAGTAAATATTTTTGAGCGGATGTTAGATCTTACGTGGTGCCGAGATCTCCTCCTGCTTTTAGCCTTTTCCTTGTTGCTCAGTTTCCCATTGTTGCTTCTTGTATGATTGAGAGAAATTTCTGGAGATGATTTTTTAACTCTGTTTTGTTTTGTTTTCTGGGGAGCCAAATGACTGCATTTGGTTATCCTTTTTTGTGAATATAGACGTTTCCTCACAGAAGTACCAGCATTTTCTAGCTCTGCGTGGGAGCAACCTGGGTGTTCAGAGTTATGGGATGGAAAAATGTGGTGGGCTGTGACTTTGCTTCTCTATGGAAGAGAAGTCACATCTCTCTGCCTTCTTTACTGGCCGTGACATAGGTCTACAGTTGCTTATGGGACTTGGGGGATATGGTAAAACCTTTTCTGTTGAATTTCAGTGTAATTCCAAACAGTGTGAACTTTTCAAATCACTTGAGAAGTGCCCCAGATGGTGTGACATTCTGCTTCATGGGAAGATTTGAGAGTATTCCCTTTGCATAATTTCTGGTTAACTATTTCATTGCATTTGCAATGGGAGAACACCAAAGCCATGAACTCTGTTGACATTTTGGCGGTGTTTGTTTAACCTCCTAGTGCACAGGCTACATTTGTTGAAAAATATTATTCTTACCTTTGCAAATCATTGGTAATTAATTCCCTTGGAAATATCTACTGCTGCACATAGCCAGGCCTGGGTGTCTGCTGGCAGATCATAGTTTAACGTCAGGTGCTAACCCACTTGATTATTGCATTTTGTAACTAACTGATTTATAGCAGCAACTTCATTTCTGTATCTCTCTAATGTATTAACTTTTTGTATTTTAAAATAATGCAGAGCAGTTGGATTTCTTTGTAGCTTCTAATGGTGAATTTAGCACAGCATGCAAGATCTGGATGACTTGCCCGATACTAGGCTTAGTGATGTGTCACAGGCTTGTGAAGTGCACAAGATATTCAGTGGTTTTTAAGTGAGATATTCACAGTTAAATATGTCCTTATTAATTCTACATGCTTTTTAACTTCAGTAAATTGTAGCTACAATTACCAACACAATGAGAGTTTTCTACAGTTGCTGCATAGCTTGCAGTTTAAGCAGAGTATTCTCTCGTCTCGGTCATGCTGTGAATGAGAAGAAACAGTGACTACATGCTATGGTGGAGCAGCTTATGTTCAACTCCCAGTACATACTTAAATTGTAATGGTAGAACACATTAGCTCACTTGGTGTAATGTAAGTCACCGACTGAAGACATTTTAAGGAGACATAGGGGTAAATTTGCAAAACACTCTGGAAGGTTTTAATTATACAGAGTTTCCAGAAAGATCAAGTAGGCGTCATGGTTAAAGGGAACACACTTGGTAATGTCAATAATAATAACATTTTCCATTGCTGATGACATATTTTTGTTAGTCTTAGTTGTTTGTAATTCTACATCAAAGGCACTACTTGAACCAAGGAGAGTTTTTTTTTCTTTTCTTTTTTTTTTCTTTGGGCTCAGGAGGAAGCCTAATGTAGATCACAGCAGTTTTTTTAATGAACTTGTGAAATCAAGGTCATAGTTCTGCTATCACTTAAAAATACTCCTGTCATAAAGCAAAGCTGTAGTGCCAGATGTGTGGTGTGAATTGTCAAGTATCTTAAGAATTTTGTTCCTGCATAATGATACGTTCAGCAATACAGAGCTCTGCACCACTGAGATTAGAATCTGTCATCTGTGGCTGAAATTCATAACCATGTTATGACTGTTACAAAGGTAATGTGAAATGGCTATGTAATCTCATTCCGTTCCTGGTGTGTGAATGTCCACATCACAAAAACTTAGGTGACAATTTTCAGTAATTGGACCTTTGCTAGCAGTGAGACGTGAGATACTGATAGCTTTGTATAGATGGACCAGACCTGAGAGGTGGTTCTTTCTGAGCTGAGATGAGGCACAGCAGCAGTAGCTGCTGGAACAGCCCTTCAGGTTTCTTTTCTGTGATGTTTACTAGAGAAACCACTTTTAAACCATTTAAAAACACTAACACTGATTACAAATATAGGTTTTACTTTTTCATTAGCATACTTATTTAAAATGTTTCTGTATTCATTTTTTTCTTCACAGATTTTTAATAGGATAGTGTAAGTATTTTTAACTTTACAGTCTCTTTAAATTTCATTACCTTTATTAAAAAAAATAGAACAAAATATTATTCAGAAAATAAAAAGCTCAAGACTGAGGCATAATTTTATTTCTTTTATAAAACCCTATTTAATGCACTTACAGTTTAATAGTGACTACCTTTTATAGTTTTATAATTTTAGAATCCTCTTTTTAATTAATTGAGCTGAGAGATTTAGGTATAGAGCGCATATTTTGCCTCTGGAAGTTACTGTGTAATTAGTATTAATGAAGGGTATTACAATTTGGATAGGTGGAATATACCACTGGTTCATTTGTGGGTCCTTTCTGTCTAACTGTGGTCTGTTGTTTCACACTACGTATAACAATTATCACATAAAGTTAAAATCTTTCTATACAAATGTGCCACGTTTGCTTTCTCAGGAAATGATGATGGTATTTTCTATATTACTGCAATACTCATGTGCCCCAGTTCTCAAAGAGGAGGCTCGTATACCAAAACCAGCATCTATGCTGAAGAAACTCGTACCTTTTCCCAGGAGATTTACAAATCAGTAAATTAATTCTTGCCAGAACTTTTCATAAACTTTCAGAAGAGATGATGAATCATCCGAAGTTTCCCCACGTGCATTCTCAATCTTCATGAGGCTTTGTTTTCCTCTTGGCAGATGGATCTTGAACACGCAAGATGAACTTGAGTTTAAAGAACTTTGATAAAATATGCCTCAAAGGGTTGGATATTTGTTTTAAAATACAGTCTTTTATATTCCAGCAAATAGCCTGATCGTGCAGTGTTGAGTGAGACAGCAAAAGCAATACCTTTGTGCAAAGTGGTTTGAGCAGAAAGGGAGAACCTTGCCTTTAAAAGGACAGTCCCCCTTTATCTTCAGTTTGTTTTGCAGACGCAGCATGTATAGGAAGCTATTACATGTGTATCACTGCCCAAAAGGAAAAGCAGAAATTCAGCACTTCAGAAAACAAGCTCCCAAAACACAAAGATGTTCAGCCTGCATCTGAAGCTTTTTGTTTTTGTTTTTTTTTTTTTGAAATTGGCACAAGTACAGATATTAGATTCTTAACTTCTTTTAAAACCAGATGGTAACTTCCAAGCAAGGTCACAGTTGAAATTCAATTTAATAAAGACATGTAGTTTTCTGCTTTTGTCAGTGATGATGCGCAGATCTCAGCGTTCAGCTAAGGTGTGCATGATTCTGCTGGAAATGGTTTTGAAATCTGGACTATCAGAATCAGGGCTTTTAAACGTGCCTGAAGGATCCTAGATTCAGTCAGGTCTGTTTGACAATCTGTGCCTTTATTTTTCATCTTTTCCACAATTCCTTTTGCAGATGTTCAGAGCAGAGGTGCGTACCCTGTTTAACCATTAAGGAGAAGATCTGATGCTGGATCTCCTCTCTTCTACATAAAGGGCTGTGAGGAGTGCTTGAACTGAGGGCAAGCAGCTGCTTTTCCTAGCTGCGCTTCATTTGTTATCTTTAAACATAGGGTTGATGTTGGGTGGTTGATTTTGCATTTGTCACAGGATTTCGTCCATTGCAATGAAGATGAAATATGCTGGAACAGGCTACCCAAACAAATGCAACGATATTAATGTTTTGGTGTTAGAGTTGCACTCTGTTCTTCACTAAATCCCAGTGGTGGCAGTGGCACCGAGTGCCTCAGCAGGGCCCTGTGATGGGCTCTGTGTGCAGCCAGCAGCGGGCAACCCTGCCCTCCTCACACAGCTCTGCCCTGCACAACTGAAACCTGCACCCTCTGTGTGCACTTGATTCCCACAGGAATGCAACTCAGTGCATTTCACCAAGCTACCTTTCTCTAGACAGTTTTAACTCTTGGTACTTTTAATTCTTCAAGGCCTCTTCACATCCTGGTCTGCAATGCTGCAATGTTTGGTGCTCCGTGGAGTTTGACGGAGGACGGCCTGGAGTCCACCTTCCAGGTGAACCACTTGGGGCACTTCTATCTCGTCCAGCTGCTGGAGGACGTCCTGCGCCGCTCCTCCCCTGCCAGGGTGGTGGTCGTGTCCTCAGAGTCACACAGGTTGGTTAACCTTACGCTGTGGTTTGGGTTTAGCTGAGATCTGCCATCCTTAAAGCAGAGATGGTGATGGCAGAGCTGCGTAAGTTCTTAAAAAGGAAAGGCCCCGGTCTAAAGCATTTGTTGTTTGAATAATCTCTTTAAAAACAACATTGCTGTGTCTGTGGATGTTGCTACATTGCCATATGTAAAGCGTGTTCTAGTTTGTTGGTATTTTTTGATCATTCTTTGTATGAATGCAGATTTTCACCGCATATCAGACCACTTATTGATTTCGCTAGGAGATGGAATAATAATTGATTAAATCTGAATGGCATGACCTATATTGATTTGTCATTCAACTACTTCAACATCGTACCAAGAAGAATGTGCAGTTATTTTAGTAGGAGAAACAATGCAATTAAAAACTACTAGATGAAATCCAATTGTTTTATAATGAGAAATTAGGGAATTCAATGCAGACATTAGCTGTGTAATGTAACTGGGAAATAGTATAGTTAATACACATTAGAACACTGGCCATGCCTCTTTTGGTGAAAGTTTTAATTAAAATATTAGATGCTTGTATTTCCTACTGTCATGAGAAGTGCAAAACAGATGTGATGAGGTTTGCCTTATTTCAGTTGTGCTGGAAGTGTTTGTTTTAATAACTGGGAAGAAGGTTTTGATATAAATTAGAGAATTAGAGAGTTCCTTGTGCAAAATGGAGGCCCCAGTTCTGTATTTTAGAGAGTGCAAACCTCTTACTGGCTTCTGATTTAGTTCCGGGACTCTAAAATAGACCTATAACGTCTAGCTTTAAACATTGTTGTTGATTTCTGTTTCACTTCTGGTCATGTGTAACATCTTCAGCAAACCCAAAGAAAGAATGTGTGAGTGGTGTTTGGTTTTGTTGTTTTTTTTTTCCCCTCTTTCCCTGCCTTCATATTTCTGAAATGTTTTAGTGACCCAGCATGAAGCTTATTTTTTTAATCATGTTTCCATAAAATGCAACCCCAGGGACCTGGTAGAGAGAGACCAGCCAAGGGTCAGGCTGAAACCTTTATCACTTCCAAACACAGGGGCTTATGGTATAAATGACACACTGCAGATAGATTTACTTTTACCATTTTAAATTTATGATGGCTGAAATGAAAGAAGCAATAGAAAATGCCAGTAATAATCCTCCCTGGTGTTAAAAGACATGAAATGTCTAGTAATTAGGTGGTAACAAAATCTGGACATCCTTATCTTGGCAAATCACACCAGGTCTGTGAAAGCAAGTAGCAGAGTCCTGTTAGGAGTAAGGGAGGCTACTGCAGGGCAGGCAAGATAGCTCTAGAAATAAATCTGCCAAGTCCAATCACTTGCCAGATGTGGATGGCACAATGGGATACGTATAAATGAGCTGTTATTTAATGGGAGATTATGTTGAATTGTCAGCTGCTTGTTCCCCTTTGTAAGTTTGCGTCTGATGGTATTTTAAATGACATCTTTGTTTTTCACTATATTAAATGTTATGTATAACTAGAGCTTACAGCTCTGAACATCTTTATCTGCTTTTTCAAAAGCATTTTTTGAAGTGTTCATTGCTAATTTCATTAGATCAGCTGAGGTTTATGGAAGCCAGTCAAAAAATAAGCAACAGCCTATGCTTGAGTAAAATAATAAACACATCTACTTGATGTCCCCCTTCTTCCAATTCATGTCATATCTTAGCATTTAAAACGATCATTGTAAATAACTGGTTTTGCCCCTAATCAGTTTAATGGCAAGAAGTTGATGTAAGGAGTTAGTTTAGACATTAGGTATTATTGGATAGTAGTACTTTCTGACCTACTTGAGAACTCTGTGCCTTAAACTATGTTGTAAAAGAGAAGTGTTGGTATCTAATTACTTCCATAAACCTTGGCTAGATCTTTTAGCTGGAGTCAAGACCCCCTGTTAGGGGAAAAATAAAGTCCCATGTTTGTGGAAAATATTATACTAGACTGCTCCAAGGCAAGATATTTATTTGCCTCTCTGGTTCCTCATTCTTTTCACTTACCTGGATTCAACACAAATGAAATCTGTTTAAATTAAGTTTTCCATACTCTAAGCACATCATATGAAAATCAGAATAATAAGTAGGTTGACTTTCCTTCTGTCTTTATTTCTGTAGTTAATTTGATTGTGCAGTCCTTATCCTACTGAATTCAATGAGATTGCTGACATAAGATTGACTCACTTGAAGGATGGGACTCAAATTATGCCCGTGTGTTTCCATTGTACAGTATACAATAAGTATTAAGTGCTTTATTTATAGATTATTTTTGGTGTCCTAAGTGGTTACTTGAGGAATGAATATAGGAAATTCCTCCCAGAATAGCCCTGTTAATTTCAGAGATGTCTGTTATCTAACTGAAAATTATGACAGATAATTTTTTGTTGCTTAAATTGAAGGGCCAATTCTACAAGATGTAGGACATTCTGGGTTCCTCTTGAGTTCAAATACTGTGGTTGCTTTTCTCTAAATGTATTATAATCCTGCTCTCAAAATGGAAGTAGAAATTCCAGCTGATCTCTTCATTTCTGGATACGAGATGCAAAATTAGTAAAGATATTTTAAAACATTTTTCTAGTGTGTACTATAATTATGTTTATCCCTGTTCTCCCTAGCTGATTCTGAAAACCCAGTATTAAAAAGAGCTTGCTAAATCTGTTTTATTTTTAGTAGCTCTTCTGGGTGGAACATGAGTCTGTAACTAAATATAGTATTATTTTCTAATACTAAGATAATCTAGTAAATTGATACATCAAAATTGTAAGAATTGGAAAATATACTATATGAAAAATTCCTTTTCTTCATCTAAAAGTCTTTAGAACATTCCCTACTTTGTTATTTAAAAGAAAAAAAAAAGAAAAAGAAACAAACAGCTGGTGTTTAATGACTCTGTCAGACCCAATTAAAAAACATCAACTAGTTACTTTGATTTGTGTTCAGCCATGCCATGGGTATACTTAAAAACATTATACTCTGCCAGAACTCATTTTGGCTTTGTTTACGTTTGTCTTTTAAACATATAAGACTATTGATGGCAAGTTGCCAAGGTTATAACCCCTTTATATTCATCAATTTTTAATCTAAAAAAGAGTCTAAGAGGTAGTGAGACTCATCCATAGTTACTTGAACACTTAAATGAAAGTGTTCAGTATATGATGAAATAATCAGGGGAACGGATTAAATGAAAGGATGCTGTTTTTCTCTGCTTCCATTTTATTCTGCATTAATTCCTGCATGTTAATTGTGCTTTTGTGGAACTATGGCAAATTTTCCTTTTCTGATTAAAAATAATGTAATTCATAAGTTCATACAATGCTTTTAAATCATTAAGGCCTTTTTTTCAACTTGTATTTACTTACTATTTGTGTCTGCTAATTATTCAATAATTTTACTGCTATATATATGGGGCTATTCCTTGGGCCTTGAGCAATTTCCACTAGATACTTGCAATTGCCAAGTAAACCGATGTTTTATTTTGGTTCTGGCCAAGTTCTACTCAGTTATCTACGTTTTATGTTGTTCTTAATGAGAGCAGAATTAACTGTGGGGTATCTAAGGTACATTTACTGTTTTTCAGATTTACAGAAATTAAAGACTCCTCTGGAAAACTTGATTTCAACCTGCTTTCTCCATCTAAGAAGGAGTTCTGGGCTATGTTGGCCTACAATCGTTCCAAACTTTGCAATATACTGTTCTCCAACGAGCTGAACCGACGCCTTTCTCCCCATGGGGTGACGTCTAATTCAGTCCATCCTGGAAATATGATTTACTCCTCCATTCATCGTAACTGGTGGGTGTACACTCTGCTGTTTATCTTGGCTCGACCTTTCACCAAATCCATGGTAAGTGAATGACCTAACAGTATTTTACACATCTTCAATTTTCAAATCAGGAGAGTAAAGTTATAAAATTCCAGATGTATGTATTTGCTTTGACCTTTTGCCTTTTATAACTACAACCTTGATTTTAATGACAAACATAATGTCAAGATCGTGAGTGGTCTAGTGAAGGTTACTTCAACCATTTTAGATTAAATTTGTCAATCTGCTGTAAAGGTACCACGTTAGGTGGATTGAGTGACTCCCATGTTTGAGTATATGATTTTCACTTTCTCTGATTAAGGTATTTGTATATTTTAGGTGTCGCATAGTTCAGAGTTATTTCTCTGCTCAGTATATGTAAAACATCAAAAACTTCTTTGGTTTTTAAGTGGAATATGCTTGACTGCATTTTTTATGTAAACAGATGTCCTAGTTAGAAAAGATACTACAGACATTATTAATGGCTGAGGGAAAGTGCTTTCAGTGGTAAAAGCACCTTCATTCATATTTAAAAATAACAACAACAATGATTTTCTTGATTCTTTTAAAGCACTAAAGGCAGTGGGGGTTTTTCCTTTGTCTTCACACTGGTCTTTGGATTGGGACAGTAATGCGATGAAAGGCTGTGTTATTCCTTCATAGCCAACGTTATGGAGCTTCATTATATAAAACATTTCAGCATCTCCCATGCTTGGAGGAGGTTACTCTTATCTCTTGATCCTCTGTCACAGGATACTTTTTAAGGAGTCCAAAAATGACTTTTACTTCATTGAGAACTGGCTTCTTTTTAACGTTGTTGACTGTTTCTTATCCATCTATATTTTCATGACAAAGAATGGTATTCCACAAAAAGGGAACAAGGGGAAGGGGGTCTTCGTTGACTACCTGCAGCTAGGACTCAGGGAAATTAAGAAATTAATGTCTATGCAGAATGTATCTCGCCATGGTGATTTGGTCAGGCCCAAATAAGGTCCCTTTTACAGAGGACTTAATGACCAACACAAGTAGTTGTTTTGTAATGTCTACTATGTCCTGAGCTAGCGATAGAGGCCAAATGAATTGCTTTTATTTGAAAGAGAGCAGAGCACAGAAGCAATTGTTGCGGCTTGATCTTACCTCTAGAATTGGAGCAGGTGATCTTAAATTTTAGTGACTTAATGTAAGTGGAAAACACAGAGTATTTAAAACTCTGGTTATGTGTCCAAAAATGGGCAGCTTTATAACAATACTGGATTTTCAGTAATGCTAATGGAACAAAACTATAAACACCCTTTCAAGCATGGATGTACTGACAGCGAGGCAGTCAGAAGAGTCTTCGCACTTTGTCCTCAACCAGCAGTTTGCAGCCAGTATGCATCCAAAACCTATTTATGTCTGTTTGGTAAGTGAGCATTTTGGCACCTTGAGACAAGTAATGTCTTTCAATAGTATGTTTTGTGACCAAGACCTTTATAACTATGTCTCTGCTGAGTTAAGGATAGTTTATAAAACAAATTCTACTGAGAATGGATTAATGTACGGTATTACCATCCAGTGAGAGGGATCCAGTCTGTGGAGCTTTTATGAACTGTTAGTTTTATTTCCTCTGACATATTTTCACAGAGGAACTTCTTGTGTTTGTTGCTTATCCCCTCTAGGGATCAAAATAAAACACTGATGTTCATTTTGAAGTCTTTACATTGATAGATTTTTTGATATTATCTTTTTATTTATGAGTGGTATGTAGAAGAGAATACAAAATACAGTACAAAAGATACCTGCACTGAAGAACAGTGCACTCTACTCTAAGCCTGATTGCTTCAGTAGTCCTTTGGTGGTGAAGGACAGTAGAACAAGGGGCAGTGGGCTGAAACTGGAACACAGGGGGTTCCATACTAACACGAGGAAGAACTTCTTTACTGTTGGAGTGACAGAGCACTGGAACAGGCTGCCCAGAGAGGAGTCTCTTTCTCTGGAGATAATTAAGACTCACCTGACTGCCTACCTGTGTGATGGGCTGTAGGGAACCTGCTTTAGCAGGGAAGTTGGACTCAATGACTTCTAGAGATCCTTTCCAACCCCTACAGTTCTGTGATTCTGTGTTTGTACGTAATTCACAGATGATTTGAGTGTTGTGATGGCAGATATGGGTGAGGATAAGCGTCAGTCTTGTAAGTCTTTGTACTATTAATTTCTATATATTAATTTATATCACTAATTTTATTGCTAACTTTGCTGAGGGCTTCCTCGCAATGTTTGTGAGGCATCTTACCCCATAGTTCAGATGAGCTTTGTGGTCAGAATCGTTCTCTTAGAGCTTGAAGTTGCAATCCTGAGGTTATCAACTGTACCTTCTTGTGATTTGCAACGGTGTCTGCACTGCACAGTGCAGAATGATGCAGCAACATTTAAAGAAGTTACTACTGAGCTGAGTCCAAACCAGGAGCTGGGAGATCTGTATCTGTGTGAAAAAAGGTAAGGCTTTTTCAGCTCAGGAAGGTGACTCTTGCAAAGATGTCTGTGCCAGTTTTGTGCTCTCTGCTGATAACTTTACTGCATTACTTTGGCATTTGGAGAGCCCAACCCTGCTGGAGCCAGTGTGAAGTTCTTTTGAACTCCTGGACTTTGTGCAGATACATTCACACACATATATATATGCAAATGTATGCACATACACACATGTGCATGCTGACTGGAGTTGCACGTAGCAAATCTTAACTCTGGTGTTTTACAACTATTTGTGTAGTAAACGTTGTTAATAAAAAATAATTAGATCTTTAATTTGTATTTCAAAAAGATGGATTTACTACATTTTGTGAGAGTGATGGATTGTTAGATTAATGCACATAGTTACAACTCTTTTGGAAATGAAATTACAGGAGAAAATTAGGAAACACATTTGATTCCCTACTAGTTTGTTCAGAAAATATAATTCTTATGTTCTGCCCTGGCTCTAAGCTGCTACGGAGAGCATTAGATTTTTGTGCCTGTGACTTGGTTTTCATTATTTTCTATGGTTCAGTAATAGCTTTTTTTCCAAGGGTGATCAAGTATACTGTATGTATCTGAAAACATTGTTTTAATTGTAGTTGTTCACTTCTTGAATGTTGAATAGCTCCACCTTGGTTTCCAGGGATGTAATATTTTCTTCAGAAATGCATGTTTTTACATAGTATGAATCTCCATTTTTGGGAGAGGTCATCCAGCCTATGTCACATGGCTCTTGGGATACTCAGTATGGCAGAATTTAGCTTAGGAAGTACTGCTGGTTCCTTTCAGTTTTAGTTGATACCCCGAGGCACTGAGATGAAGTATTCTAGTATCAAACTTTTTTTATCTGTTTGCTGTTACTCAGTACAACTATGGTGACTCAGTTTCAATAATTAGGACACTTTATGAAGTCAGGTAATTTTAAGCTCCACTTAAGAAATGGTATTGCAGATCATCCTTCTTACACTCTGGACTTCCTAAAAAGAGCAAACCTACTTGGATACTGACCAGTGATGAGTGGTGTCCCTCAGGGGTCAGTACTGAGACCAGTGCTCTTTAATGTCTTCATCAGTGAGATTGACAGTGGGATGGAGTGCACCCTCAGCATGTTTGTTGATGACGCCAAGCTGTGTGGTGTGGTCAACATGCCTGAGGGATGGGATGCCATCCAAAGGGACCTAGACAGGCTTGAGCAGCGGGCCCAGGCGAACCTTAACAAATCCAAGTGCAAGGTCTTGCACCTGGGTCATGGGAACTCTCTCAATCAGTACACTCTGAGGAATGTAATGATGGAGCACAGCCCTGCCAAAAAGGAATACTGGTGGTTGGCAAGCTAGACATGAGCCAGGAATGTGTCCCCCCAGCCCACAGAGCCAACCTGGAGACATTCAAGGTCAGGTTGAACCAGGCTCTGGACAATCTGATGTAGCTGTTGCAGGGGGAGTTGGACTACATGCCCTTCCAATGATTCTGTGATATGATTGGTCTTTCTTTCAAGTATGAGGCTTTTAGGTATATAATTTTATTTGGTTCTGTTAGTGGTTCATATCTTACTGAAAGAAATGCAACTTTATATTTCTAAAACTGTTTGAATGCTTATAGCTTAAAAATTATGGTATGTTTGTGCTGCTTATAAATAACTTTTCTGTTGAATCACAGAATGCTGTCTGGGAGCTTTTGAAACATAATACAATGTTTATATTACTGATGCATATAGGTGTAAAGGAAGTACTTATATTAAGTAGAGCACTGAAAACTGAAAGACTCTTCGTCCTTCCTTCTCCCTCCCCCCCACATTCAAGACCTAAAATATACAAGGATTTGTTAGAACTAGAGAACAAGTATTTTTTGCAGAAAGCAATAATTGTGCGCCCACTGTAAATAACAAATTGGAAGAGAAGCTCTGAAAGGAACATGCTCACAGGCCATGCGGGTGCTCAGTTGGTTTGATCTACGATTTGGATTTTGTTTTCTTGTGTGGTTTTTTCCTTCTTTTTTTCCTCTCTCCCCAGCCTCTCTTTCCCTTTCTCTCCTCTTTCTTTCTCTTCTATTCATTTGTTTTAAATTAATGCTAGTCATACAGAGTCCATGTTTTTTTTTACTAGTTATATAGAAGAATAAAGTTAAATAAATGTATCAGCTTTCAGCTTAAGCTCAGTGTTATCTAATGTCACTTGCAGATGATTTTGTGAGTGTACAACAGCATGTAAAATAAGCAGATTGCCATTATCACACACTTGCGATAGTCTTACGTAGAACAAAATATTTGTGTTGGCAGGTAACGGAGCAGAAAGAGTATCTTGTGCTGGAGTAGCAAGAGCTTAGCAGATGTTTCGGTGAACTAAATTTTCAAATCCTTTTACATTAAGAAATGGCTGGGGTTTGTAGAAGTGCTGAGACTCTTGGGTTACATTTCCCGTTGCAGTGCAAAGCCAGCCGTTGTACTAGAATTTTAGCAGATGTGTTACGTCCTTTTAATGGTTGGGAATAAAACATTGGCCCTGTTGCTGAGAGATAAATTACAACTAGAAGAGCTCAACCTGTCACCATAA